TTGATTTCAAATTTAAAATTTTCATACTAATTACCAATTAAAGATTACATGAGTTTACTAGGCAGTTTGAAATTGAAAAGATTTTTTGACAATTGTTCTAATTTCCTATAAAAGGAAGACTTTACATCAAAATGCTGATGAATAAATGTCCAAATTTGTTGAAGAAATGAGTCAAAACTATGTTATGTATGAAAATTTAACAGATCAAACAAGTATATTTTATTACTCAAAATTAAAGATTTTTTAAAAACTTCCATTAATTTTGAAAAAATTATGAAATTAAAATCTAATTTCCCTTAAGAAATTTTAACCCCCCCAAATTAAATACAGAGTAAGGTAAAACATTTTGAATTGCAATCAAAACTTCTTGGCAAATTTGAAATTTTGAAATATGGAAAACCTTGCTGATCAAACTCAGTTTTGACAAGGAAATTAAAATGCCAAAAAGGCTTGAAAAAATGTAAATAAGCATTTGTCCTAAATAAAAAGTTAACATTACTGAAATTAATGAATTTTATAAAAACTGACAATTGTGTTCAATTTAAAATGAAAAGAAATTGCCACTTCCACACAAGTACCCCGGGAACCTTGGTCCTTAAAAAAACGGTTTGCATTAAATTCTACACACAATAAAACAAAATGACTTTCCTAAAAAATTAATTTAGAAGATTTCAAAATCAAAGAAATTTTATAGAATGTTTTTATTGTGTAAAAATGTCAGCCATTTTACAAAGTTAAAAGTCATAATTATAAAAATGTTTAACCGGAAATGCCATATAGAGTAATTCCATTAGCTCTCATCAGTGTGTTTCAATACTTGAAGTTTCATTACCCAGTAAAGAGCTTCTGTCAAATTAACAAGATTTTTAAAAAAAAATAATTCAAGTAAAAGGAAAGATCAAGGTCAAAAGATGATGATTTAGTTGAATAGCTCTTTGAATCTATCTAGCATAGGAAGATTGATCAAAATATCTTGAATAGTTTCTTTGAAACTGAACTTTGAATTGAGATAAAAACAGAGCCCAATGGTCTTGAGAAGAAATGAGAAACCCTATATATCTATGGCCTCACCATTAGCCCCTGTAAAGGGTGGGGGGTCATGATTTGAACAAACTTGAATCTACCTTTTAAAAATGATTCCACAATTTTCAGTCATTTCTGGCCCAATGTTCAAGAAGAAGATTTTTAAAGATTTTTCCTATATATTCCTATATATGTGTTAAAACTTTTATCCCCATTGTGGCCCCACCATACCCCTGTAGGGGTCATGATTTTAACAAACTACATCTACACTACCTGATGATACTTCAAAAAAGTTTCATCTTTCTTGGCCAAGTGGTTCTAGAAAAGATTAGCTTTTTAAATGATGCCATTAATTTTTCACTTATTTATTAAATCCCCTTGGAAAAGGGCGTGGCCCTTCATCTGAACACATTGTGAATCCCATAACCCAAAGATACTTTGTGGCAAGTTTGATTGAAATCGGCCCAGTGGTTCCTTAGAAGAAGATGAAAATGTTTAAAGTTTACAGATGGAGGGATGGTATATACCGACAGATGGAAAGTCAGACATTCAAACTTTCTGCTCAGGTGAGCTAAAATCCCTCAAAGAGAAAGTATAATGTATCATAATGATTATGTATTTGTAAAGAATGAAATTAAGGTGCAACCTACCAAAACATTAGTACTAATAATAAGAAATCTGTGATCCAATGTTCACAAGAAATACCCTGCTCTGATGTGAATAAACACTTTCATGTTAATATTAACATGAGTTCATTTACGGGCAAATGCACAGAAAAATATGAAGTTGAAGTCTGAGATTCACATAAAAATTAATCCCACCATATAACACATCTCAACAAACAGTGTACTAAAAATTTCAAACAATATTTTGCTATGAATAGTTGAAGAAAAAACTGCGACGAAAATTTCTTATGTATGAAACAGACAGACGAAGAGAAAAACAGGAAGTTGACATTTATTGCCTGTCTGAGAGAGGACTAGAACTGTCCAAACGGGACAAAATACCCCCCGCTGGATTTTTAAGAAGAAATTTTTCCATAATAAAGATCTGTATCGAACATATTATTATGAAATTATTCTTCCAATGACCTTGAACTTCCCCAAATGACTTTGGGTCAAGGTCATGACACACCATTGGGTCATGGACAATCTTTGAGTGAAATAAGAACCTACCAAGTTTATCCATAAGAAAGATATGGACAGGACACGAATTATGAAATTTTTCTTCCAGTGACCTTGAACTTCCCCAAATGACCTTGGGTCAAAGGTCTTCCCCAAATGACCTTGGGTCAAAGTCATGACACACACTTAGATCATGAGCAATCTTTGTGTGAAATGAGAACCTACCAAGCTTATCCATAAGAAAGATATGGATAGGACACCAATTATGAAATTTTTCTTCCAGTGACCTTGAACTTTCCCAAATGACCTTTGGTCAAGGTCATGACACACCCTAAGATCATGAGCAATCTTAGTGTTGAGTAGTAGATTCTAATGTCCCTCTGTAAGAAAGATATGGACCGGACAAGATTGCACAGACAGACGGACAGCTAGACAGACAGACAGACGGACAAGGTGACTCCTATATACTCCCCCCCCAAACTTTGTTTGCAGGGGGTATAATAATGTGTTAAAATTTCAAGCATCTACAATGAAAAGATGCTGAGAAAACTGTGACGAAAATTTGTTGTGTATGAAATGGACAGACGCACAGACAAGCAGGAATTGGCATCAGATTTGAACAAAAATGTAAAAGCTTCTGCAATGATCAGTTTCTGAGAAAACTAGTTAAACTACGATGAAAATTTGTTACGGACAGACATGCATATGGACAGACAGACACACAAGGGTAAAACAGTAAACCCTCCCCTCCTCTCCTTCAGATCGGGTTATGATATTATTTAGTTTTTCTACAAATGAAACTTTTTTCATTTTTCTCTCTTATTTGAAATCAAATGATGCACAGACTTATGACCGAAAAAGTTTGTTGTGAAAGCAATCAATCACTTTTGGAGTTTCCAACAACTTTTCCATAAAAGGAAAGGCTGACCAGAGAATAGCCGATTCACTTTAATTTTACCCATATTTGTCCCCTGAGGCAGCAATGTGTCTAATATGAAAACTCAGACTTGTAAGTCAGAAGAATGTAAACCATCAAAAGTAACAGAGCCTGATACTCCTATTTCTGTTCTTGAGTCATTTGTTTGTTGACAAAAACCGAATGGTAAGAAAAAATAACAAGAGGCCCAGGGGCCACAGCGCTCACCTGAGCACATCGGGCTTGAATTTACTCCCCCCCCCCCCCCCCTCCAGGCGGTCATCATTTGAACAAACTAGAATCTACACTACCTGAGGATGATTCCATATAAATATCACAAATTATAGCTTTGAAGAACTTGAAAAGAAGATTTTAAAAGGTTTCCCTATATATCCTTATGTAAAACTTGGGTCGGCCATTTTGGCCCCACCTTAGCCCTGGGGGTCATGATTTGAACAAACTTGAATCTGCACTTCCTGGAGATGATTCCACATGAGTTTCATCTTTCCTGGCCCAGTGGTTCTGGAGAAGAAGATTTTTAAAGATTTTTCTTATATATTCCTATGTAAAACTAGGGTCAGCCATTTTGGCCCCACCTTTGCCCCAGGGGTCATGATTTCAACAAACTTGAATCTGCACTTCTTGAGGATGATTCATCATGAGTTTCATCTTTCCTGGCCCAGTGGTTCTGGAGAAGAAGATTTTTATAGATTTTTCCAATGTATTCCTATGTAAAACTTGGGAGGGCCATTTTGGCCCCACCCTTGCCCCTGGGGTCATGATTTGAACAAACTTGAACAACACTACCTGAGGATGATTCCACCTGAGTTTCATCTTTCCTGGCCCAGTGGTTCTGGAGAAGAAGATTTTTAAAGATTTTTCCTATATATTCCTTTAATTTGTAAAATTTGGGTCTGCCATTTTTGCCCCACCCTTGTCACGGGAGTCAAGATTTGAACAAACTTGAATCTGCACTTCCTGAGGATGATTCCACATGAGTTTCATCTTTCCTGGCCCAGTGGTTCTGGAGAAGAAGATTTTTAAAGATTTTTCCAATTTATTCCTATGTAAAACTTGGGTCGGCCATTTTGGCCCCACCCTTGCCCCGGGGGTCATGATTTGAACAAACTTAAATAAACACTACCTGAGGATGATTCCACATGAGTTTCATCTTTCCTGGCCCAGCGGTTCTGAAGAAGAAGATTTTTTAAAAATGCCATTAATCTTTAACAAATTCATGATTATCTCCCCTTGGAAAAGGGTGTGGCCCTTCATTTGAACAAACTTGAATTCCCTTTACCCAAGGATGCTTTGTGCCAATTTTGGTTGAAATTGGCTCAGTGGTTCTTGAGAAGAAGTCGAAAATGTGAAAAGTTTACAGACAGACGTACAGACGGACAGAGAGACAGACAGATGGACAGAAGGACGCCGGACAAAATGTGATCAGAAAAGCTCAATTGAGCCTTCGGCTCAGGTGAGCTAATAAAGTTGAAAAATTTTATGTGTTTATTAGTTTTATTTGATTCATTTCAATGCTACTCGAGAAAAAAATATGTCAAGGTTCCAAATTATTTTTATTTTTATTTTTTGACTGCCAAATGCATATTTTTGTGTCAAAAAATTGTAAACCAAAAAAAAAAAATTTTGGCATAACCCTTGTCTTCACACCCTAAATGTGTTAAGTGAATAAACTAAAAGTTTCAATATTTATGAAAAGAGAGGTAGATTCTGTGAGACAGACAGACAGACAAAGTGATTCCTAAGCAACCCCCAAATGTGTTTGAGGGGTGTTGAATAAAACTAACAGCTGTACCAGATTATATACAAACAGAGAGAGATTCTGTACAGACAGACAAAGTGATTCCTAAGCAATTTGAATAAAACAGTACCAAATTATATACAAACAGAGAGGTAGATTTTGTGTTTTTTTGACTTACCGGGAAGCCCATCACGTAGTCGGCGTGCCACGCAGGTGGACGCCGAATCCTCGTAGACCGTCGAAGCTCCATCTACATAAAAATAAAAGTTCATCAGTACATTGTCCTCAAAGTTAAGATTTTCCTTAAAATTTAAAATAATTGGCACTATAGAGCATCCAGGAGTGTTTCTGGTGCATTTATGTCAAATAAAAGAAGTTATAATGGCCAATTTTTTTTTCATTTCAAGTCTTATTTTTGCAATGAAGGTTAACATGTATTAAATTCTCAAATTTCATTTATCACTTCCTACTCACTAATAATTTAAATATTTCTTTCATGTTTTTAATTATCCTGAAGAAATATTCATAATTTATTATATTACACACAATACCGACAAACCAATGCAGAGCAAAATCATGCATATACTGTAAAAGCACAAATATTCGTTGGGGATTTAATTTCGTTTATTTCGTTGTTAACGACTATCAACGAAATTAAATCCTACACGAAATTTTTTATGACTTTAAATTAAATAGGGTTATTTTCTAAACAACGAAATTAAATCCCAATGAAACTATTTCTGATGGCAAATCAATGAAATTTTATGCCCACGAAAATTTGTGCTTCTACAGTATGCAGAAAGGGAAGGTTAAACTATATTAACAATATGATGGATAATACTGGATAAGTCATGCATTTACATGTATATCTACCAGTCATTGTTATTTTTCCTATATAATATCAATTAACTTCCAAGATTAAAATGTTAAAAGCTTAATAATGATTAAAAAATAAACAACTGTTACAGACTTTTGGTACTCTTTCAATGAGGTAATTGTTGCCTCTATATTTCAAGGGCAAGATCAAAGATTTTTCAAAATTCAAGTCAAAAGTAGGTCAAACTTCAAGATCAAGGTCAAAAATCATAGTGTATTTAGAAAGGTCTTGTCACATATAATATAAGTTTTAATATGAAAGCCCCACCTCTTCTCATTCAAAAGTTATGGCCAATTTTAAGTTGTTTTTTTTTTTAAGAAGGTCAAATATCAAGGTGATGTCAGTTCAAAAATTGGTGTATTTAAAAAAGATCTTAAATTGTCACATTCAACACACAGGTCTGATATGAAAGCCTCTTCTCTTCTCAATTTGAAATGTCATGATCAAGGTTCTTTTTTGAAAATTAGGTCAAACCTCAAGGTTATTATAGTCATGAGGGAAAAAATCATAGAGTTCTTGTCAAAAATAATATACATATTTTCATATGTGAGACATAAAAGCCCCATCCCTTCTTATTCAAAAGATATGACCAGGTTTGAAGTGGAGACAGATAAACTGTCAGACTTACAGACTGACAGACGGACAGACAACTGAGATTTAATATGACTTCCCTCACCTTTGTGAAAGTGGCAAACAAGAACATCCATATTTTCTTTAATATTAAGCCTCTTTAAATCTAAAATTACTGTCAAGCTCATTAAGAAGGTCTACTAGACCAAATTAAGTCCATGCACAGTTGCTTGTATATAATTTTAGTTATGCCATAATTGAGTGATGGTCAATACAATTCATATTTTGAAAAACTGTTTACAGGGTAACCGGCACATGCACATACAGACAGATGGAGGGACAATGGACAAATAAGTCAAGATCTTCTGGTCTAATCAGTTAGTAGAAGAGCCATGTTAGACAGATTGAGACCTGTTTGTAAACAGTCCCGTACGAAACAGTCCGGGCGGCTTGGACACGGCTCACGCACGGATTCCGTCTCCAGAAACCCGTGCTTTAGCAGGTGGAGAGCTGCAAATTTTGTCTTATACTCGGCACTTACAGGGCCATTGAGCAGAGAGGGGTCTTTTTCTTGCCAGCACCTTAGCTGCGACATGGGATCTCGCTTTATACAGTCTCATCTAAAGACCGGACTCCCATCCCACAATGGGATTTGAACACGTGACGTTAGGATTGACTCCTTACTCCACTCCTCTACAGCAGACGCTCTAACCAAATGTGCCACACGGGCGACTTCAATAGTGATATAAAATTGGATGCATGATTTTTATTTATTTTAAAAACTATATTGCGATATATTGCAATATTTGATGGCATTTGCTAATATTGCAATACATTAAATTATGTCATTTCATGTAAATTTTGCCATGAACCGAAAATTAGTGTAATTAAATGTTATTAAAATACAATATCTGATGAAATTTCACGTCAGATAATGTTTGCTGTTAAAACTATTTAACCACACAGTTTGTAAAAATGGCTTGTTATATTAAAAAATACAATTTTTGTAAAATTATTATCAACACACAGCTCTTTGATAAAAAAAATTACTTTAAAAATTCAGAAATGTTTATAATGTCTTTTTATTCAACTTTTAAAATTTATAAACGTGGTTGTGTCCTAGTCAAGGAAAAAAGAATATTTAAGCATCACAAACCTAAACTGTTTTAACATCGTTTTATTTCGTCCGCCATTTTGATAAAGAAAAGTACGAAACCAGAGTAAAAAATTTCCGGAAAAAATTAAGTGTTGTTGAATTGAATCCCTGATAATACATTATAATTATACAGTGCAAAGTTTCCAAGTTTGACTTTTGTTCTTGATGAGTACGTCCCCTATGCAGCTATATACTCTTAAAAATGTGGATCTATATGTACGCCACTGGCCAGGAAGACCTTACATATACATCCTTATAAAATGTGGATCTAAATTACTGTCATCATTCAATGACCTTTTTGTTATTATACACCCTTAAAATGTGGATAATATGACAACGCCAGGCCAGGATTGATTTCATATACACCCATAAGTGTAATGCAACTATATAAAATAGGCCAAAAAACTTAAAATTATACTGTATTGGACAGTATCTATGAAAATTAAGTCCAGTGCAAAGGGATATAATTTTACAATTTAGCTCAATTAATAGCTCACTAGGTCTAATTTAAAGTTAGTAAAAGAGCCATTTTTACATACTTTATATTGTTTAAACAGTTTTGTGACCAAACAGACCAAACGGCTTGCAACATATGTTGAATACATATTTTTTGTACAGTCCCAGAAATGATGAATACGACAAAATTTTAGCGAAAAGGTGGAGAAGCTGCAAATTTTGTTTATACTCGGCACTTACAAATTGAGCAAATAGAGGGTTCTTTTTTTGCCAGCACCTACTGCGACAATGGGATTTCGCTTAATACAGTCTCATCTAAAGACGTGACTCCCATCCCACAATGGTGATTCGAACACCACGTTAGGCTTTTGACTCCTTACTCCACGCATCTACAGCAGACGCTCTAACCATTGTGCCACACGGGCGACTTCAATAGTGTATACAAATCTGTGCATGATTATTTATTTATTTTCTTATTAACTTAACGTGTACTGTATTTTTTAACTAAGTACATGTATGTAAGGGCCATCGGCCCGATGGCTGATATTTGGTGTCTCGGGCCAATCTCCATATGAGTGAAAAATTCTCGAGAGGAATGTTTGACAACTTAAAACAATTAACCACACAGATTTGAGAATTTTATACCAACATAAAATATTGGTAAACAATAATTACAGCTGGTTGGTATGTAAATAAAATCTCTGCATATAAATACAGTTTGTCTGCATTATAACAGGGACATATATACTAGTACATAGGTCTGTGATAATACATTATATATTTATACAGTGCAAAGTTTCCAAGTTTGACTTTTGTTCTTGATGAGGCCCCTATATACATCTATACACCCTTAAAATGTGGATCTATATGTATGCCAGGCAAGGATGACCTTTCATTATTTACTTTGATTGGATGTATCTATGTGCACTCACTAGACCTACCGGAAGTCCAATTTTCACCCAAAATGCCAATACACATGTCAATATTTAATTTGTAGATTCACATTAAAACTAAAAAATGTGACAAATGGTACCTAATATACACGTGCATACATGCGAACAAGTATTTCCAAGTGTTAGTACCAGTCTAGCTATAAATCTCTGTTTTGCTGCAGGCCAACAATGGCGTCAAGAATGTTCGACTACTCACTGCGAGAATTGTTTTCCACAATAACCCCTATAAAGTAATAAACTGATGAATATAACTACTTCAATATAAACTTACCTCGCCCAGAAGAAATCTTCTTCTGTGCAAGATGTCTTGAAGAATGCAGTGAAAGCGCTGAGTAGATGCAATGCAGAAGCAATGACAATAGTGACCGATATTGACAAAATGGCAATTTCAATCTGACCTTATAACCCAGGTCACGTGATCAAAGTTAGACAGTCTCCCATGCAGAGCGTAGTGATTTTGGAAGATCTATCCACCTAATTCTATGAAAAAAAAAGGTGCGATATGCAATGTAATCCCTCAAAAAAATATAAAATTTCTCAAAAATTAAACAACCTCAAACCAATGCATGAATTTATAGTTACCTGGCAAACCACGAAGTAACCGGGAAGGGGGGGGGGGGGGGGGGGGCAAGAAGGTCTTCAGCATAGTTGTCCAAATTTTCTTAAATCCTATTTCGGGGGGGGGGGGGGGTAAGTGGTAAACTTTTTCTTTCAGTTTCATCTACTTTTATTGACCAATTTTAATACTACATTTTCGGTATATCACTAAAAGTCGAAGATGGGGGAGGGGGGGAGAGACAACCAGGCTTTCAATTAATTTTTTTATAGCATTTATGGTTGGGGGAAAAATTAAATTATGTTGCTACGCCCCTGCTATATGATATATATCAAAAATAGTAACAGTTGAAAATATAAGTGTACAACCTACATGTTATTTGCGGATCTATGGGTGTCCAAGGGTTGTGACCCCTTTTTCAGAGAGAGAGAGAGAGAGAGATAAAAAAAGACAGAGAGAGAGGGGGCGATTTCTGTCATATAGAATTATATTTTTAGGTTTATTTTACAAAAAAAAAAATAGTACTTTAAGTTCTGTCCTTGTAATTAATTTCCTCTGTGTTGCCTAAGCCACCAAACCATGGCTAACTTCCAAGACTCCGTCCACCCACAAGTAACATGCATGCAAGGTTTCACTTATACCCCATTCATACGACAAAACTTTGCTTATACATGTGTGAAAATTTACTTCAGAAATA